TCCCCTTCTCCTCCTCCTCCGCCTCCTCCTCCTCCTCCTCCTCCTCCTCGCTTTTCTTCAGAGGCCAAATAGTTGGCTTGTCTGTTGGCAGTTCACACCAAACATTCAAACACTGAAATGAATATGTGTCACTATGGATGCTCTCATTAGGACTGCTCCTTGACATCGAACTGCAGGGAAATCTGGATGTAACAAGCACAGTGATGAAACCCGTGATATTTGCTAATGACCAGCATGTAACACAGAGTTGTTGTGTGTAACCAGTTGTTTTCTCGCCTTCTTCATGTCCCTACAGTGCCTGGGAACCTGGGCTGCTTCAAAGACAGCGGTGACCCCCCCACCTTGTCCGGTACCAGTGAGACCTCCAACAAACTCACCATCCAGAACTGTATCAGCTTCTGTAGGAAGCTGCGATACAAGGTGAGATTTGAAACTAACTAGAAATGTAGAAATGAAAAGGAAGCATGTAAAGGGATGTTCAGCAGTATCTTTGGACGAACATTAAAGCTCTCGGTTTTTGTAGGAGAATATGTTCAAAACGATAGAAACTAAAAGAGAGACTGCTGGGTGCACTTTATCCTGGCACTCATACTGTTCAAGTGTCTCCTCTCATTGGATCAAAAAGCATCCAGTCAGTTGCCTGTGTCATTTTCAGAAATGGACACAAGCCGGCTCTGGCAATAGTCAAGTTTTATATAAATCATCTGCATTTACAAGCAGTTTCCTGACAGTTGTCTCCACAATGCCAAGTGCAGTCTCTCCCCTTTTTATTCAGCCATCAAACTTCTTGTTTCAAACCAACCAATGTATGACAGATTATCACAGCAATCAAGGCTGACAGATGGAAATGAACGGCTATTACCCCAGTGGGCATCTCCTCAGTGCGTTTTTCTCATCTCTGTATCAGGCATGCCATTGTCCCAGCTGTAAACAGTGCCAGGTGCTCATTTTCTGTCTCAGCAGATCTGGTTCAGCTCCAGCTGCACTGACAGATCCTGACAGATCGCCCCTCTCCTCTCAGTTCAGCAGATGTTACAGGATGTGGCAGTAGATTGGCATCATCTGCCTACCCTTGGACTGTCACTGGCCTTAATGCGCAAGTGAAACGTCACTGCTCGGAAGCATGGATCCCGTGTGACTTTCTGACAAAGTGCATGCCTGATGAGTGAGGCAGCAGTCCATCACTTGTTTGCTCCAAAGTATTCACACTGGGGTTCTCAAACATTATTTCGTCAGATAGCATAATGCAATGAGGAAGTAGCTTGATACGTCTTGCGGGGAACAGAGGCTCCATAAATTCCTATTCCATGTGGAAAAAAGAGTGGGAAATGATGCAGTACCTTGAATTGTGTGGGTCCATTTTGGGCCTGAATATTGGACAATGATGTCCTTTTGAATAAAGGACAATAGCTCTTTTGAAAACAAGCAGCCATTGTTGATGAGGTCAAGATGTGTGAAGGTTTTAGATGTTCCACATTCTTCCTTTGACACCAACAGGAACAGTTTACCAGCACTTTTGTTTTGACAGTTAGAAAGGTTCTGTTTCTGTAAGGTTTACTCCCTGCTCCCTGTGCGCAGCTGTGTGTGAGAGAGGAGACGTCTAATCAGCTGAGAGGTTGTGGTTATGTAGACTCAGATTACAGCATCTTGTAATCATGACAGAAAGAGCAATTAGGGCCCATTAGACTCAGAGAAAAGGAGCTAAATGCAGTGAACTGTTTACTACATGTTAACACAGCTTCATGTAAAGTTGATATGAGAAACATCTACTAAAGCTACTGTTATTTGAATATTATATTGTTATTAGGCAAAACTGTTGTGTGCTCATGTACAATTTTATGAAAAAGTAGCCATTTTGAATATTTTATGAGTAGAGAGAAGAGCCAGATTCTTTATCTGTCCTCCACAAAGTGTGTTTCCTTAGTCATCACAGTGATTTCCTCAATGTTTTCCTTGCATGCACCCATGCCAAATGGATTTATGATGAATAGCATTATGGGAACCCAAAGTTTGTTTTGAATTGCAGATGCAAGGATTTACATAACTCCTTTTGTGTTTTGCAGCTTGCTGGTATGGAGTCAGGCTATGCCTGTTTCTGTGGCAACGACGTGGACCTGCATGACCACGGCGAGTCACCCAGCATGGAGTGTAACCATGTTTGCTTCGGCGACCACACCCAGCCCTGTGGTGGAGATGGCTGGGTCATCGTCTTCGACAGTGAGTGTTGCCTAGCACAGCTGTGGGTCTGACTCTGTGATCTTCTCTGTGCTGTGAATTGGAAAGGAATTCTAATTAACTCTGGGGAAAACAAGATACCAAACTTTAATTTCTGGATTTCCAAAGTAATTTAAGACAATGCACATTCACAAATACATCTGTTTGTGCCTACAGGTTATATAAACCTGTGGTGGGAACAGCTTTGCCATTGCTTTTGTCATGTTAACACCGTGCAAAGATGTTTTGTTGAGTTACGCTCCAGTTCTCCTCACAAACAGCTTTTCAATTTTAGATTCCCTAAATTATTGCTTGGAAGAATCTAGATATAAACTAAACAGTAATGCAACTTTTTCTCTCCCAATGCCGAGTATGACACCTTAACTCAAGGTATTTGCCATACCGATCATTTTTATGTAAGTTAACATTAGGCCGGCCATTGGTATGGTGCTAAAACTGGGTCAGCAGTTAGATGTGAGCAAAGGACAGTGGAAACACTGAACTCTATGACAGTATTTGGTGTGGATCAGCCATGTCGAGGCTCATACCAATCCACTTAATAAGATCAGTATCTGTGCTGCTTGGTGCAGCCCCATTCACGAAAATATATAATGTGATGTCTCTTACTAACATATTCATGAGACCCGTCATCTGTTCATAGACTGAACAGTCTTAACAATCTGAATATCCTTTAAACTTGGAAAGTATCACTGACCAGCTTCTCCTCTATTGTTATGTTCTTCCTTCCAGCCCGAGTGGGTGCCTGTGGTGGAAACTACACCTCTCCATCAGGAGTGGTCTACTCCCCCGACTTCCCTGACAAGTATGGGGCTGGCCGTGTTTGCTACTGGACTATTCAGGTCCCTGGATCCTCCGCCATCCTCTTCAACTTCACCTTCTTTGACATTTCCGATCAGACAGACATGGTGGAACTCCTGGACGGCTACACCAACCAGGTGGTGGCACGCTTCGATTGGCGGAGCCCGCCACGGGAGCTGGTGAACATCACAGGCGACTTTGTCATACTCTACTTTTACTCAGACCGCACCAACCAAGCCCATGGATTTGCTCTGCTTTACCAAGGTAGGATTTCATGTTTTCCAGCAGTCGTGGTGGATTGAGTTCCTCAAAGCTTATGGCGTATCACACAGTATCAGCTCTTTGCTCTAGCAGCCTGCCTGAACTACAGTACCCCTTCAAACCCACCAAGAGCTACATTTGCATGATCAGGTGCATGCTGACTTGCATTTTGCATAGCTTGTTAGCTCCAGTAAGCCACTTGTCATGCCACTGACAGGCCCTTTTCTCTTTTCATTTGCTAGTCAATGCCTCACGGGCTCCAGGTGATAGCGCATATTTAAATAATACTTTGTTTTTCTAGGAAGTCACTGTCTTATCAAGCTGCAGCAGGCTGCTGTGCTTCTCCAGAGTGTGTTCCTCTGTGAATTGCACAGCGAATTTTAATGCCACCTACACAGAAAATACTGTGATACTATACATTGTGCCTTCTGATATCATGACTTCACTGTAGAGCAGACGTATGGCCAAAGAACTATAACTCACAGGAAGTTGAAGACCTCACTGCAAATTGGTTTATTTCTCCAGACTAATGTGGAATTCAGAAAATAAAAAGCTGCCCTCTGTTGTTTTCACAGTGAATATTCTGAATGCACTGAAAATGATTCAATTGAATAATTTCTGAAGGTGTAAGCGAAGCACTCCCTTATACAGTTCAGTGTAATCCTGTATCATTTTCCTTGACCGGTGGTGTTATAATAAAACAGTATTGGAAGGACAAACTGATTTGATCTCTGGATGAATAGGAGCCTTTCTGCTTCCATATTGGCTCTTGTTTTACATGAGGCATGACGCTGCCATAGAATAGAATCTGAGACATGTTATGAAAAAGGTCACCTCCTGAAGTAATGGGTGACAGAGAGAACAATACATGGCAGCTGATTATTGGAACTACTAAATGCATCATAATATCTCCAGGCTGAGCAGTTGAATCAGTAATTTTAGGATAAACACTCTCAGATGATGAGGGCAACAGATTTTTAGCTGGGCCTGAGTTTGATTGCAAAAGGGGAAGTTTGGGGAGATCACAGACAGGTTGAGGTTTTGTGAAAATAATCGTCCAACTACCACTAATGGGAGAGGAGACCAGGCATAGATCAAACAGTATTTGGAAGTGCTTACAAGAGACTTAAGTCATTGGTATTTGCATAGTATCTTATTTTAGAATCTTCTTAAATGGCACTAAATGGCAACCGTGTGAAAGCACCTCTGTTAGAGGAGTGTTTAAGGAGCTGAGACACCTCCTAATAGATGGACTGACCAGTTCTGACAGATGACTAAGCTGTTCTACGTTTGCCAGTGCTACAAAGTGCATTTCTGTGTATCCAACAAACAGTGTAAAGTCTTGTCTGTGTTTTGGTTTGATGTCAAATGGATCTGCCATAAACATGTGCCAGCTTTTTTTGAGTTTGTTATCCTAGTATTTCCCCAAAACACGACTGACTGTGGTGAATTAAAAGTCCTTTCTACTGCCTCTAGCTATTCTCAGGCCTTCGGGCTTTTGGCAAACAATTATTCTACACAAAAACCCAGGCGTCTTGAAGTTAGAGCCTCATTTTTAGGAGTTTCTCCTAGCTTGGCCAGATTGGAGCTGCTTTGAGGATGTTTTTAAAAAATGGCCCCAAACTCAGAATTATAATTCTATTAATTTGAACCACTCATATCTTAATTGTTTCTGCTTCATACCCACATAGGAACAACGTGAAAGACATGGATAACGCACAGATAACGTGGATCAGGCACAGATTGCTGATAGATTTGTCATGTTTCTCTTCACCAAACCTCAGTACAAATTCATATTTAAGGAAAATAATGAAATAATCATGACACATATAAATATCTGCATGAGACGTTCCACACTTTGTTTCTCAGAAGCAACATTTCAGAAAAAACGTTCTCAAAATCACACAGTGATTCACATCTATGTTTAGGAGAAGTAAATGAAAGACAGAGGAGGTCTTATTTAGTATATTCCTTTCCTCTGGGAGCCTATAAATGAGTTGAAATAGTCCATGCTCTCTGGCACTGTTGTTTTTTGAGGCAAACTACCCATCTGGTGCTGTAAGCAGGTTAAAACAAACAGAATTTATTGCAAACACTTTTTGAATCATGTCTGCAGCAGACAGAAACTCTCACCACATGTTTACTGGACGCTCGGGTGTTTTTGCAGAGTAGATCTGTTTCTTAACAAATGTAGTTAAATAGTCGCTCGTGACTCTTCTGTATATTCTTTCAACAACATGATCAACATGATGTATTCAATTACTGCGTGCTTGCTGCAACAGCCCACTTTACTCACTGGAATAATTAAAGGGGTGTTAAGTGATCTATGTTGTCAGCTTGGAGAAATTACAAGAGCATGGCAGAGCTTTTCGTCTTCTGTGTGTCTGGCACAGGGCGCACCACTCACCACTCCTCTCCCCAAGAGCTAGGAACGCTTCGAATACTCAGAAAGAATCACATTTTGAAAGGGTAATATGTCACACTCCAGAGAGCTGTAACAGTTTTTTAATCACAGCAGGGCAAGAAACATAACTGAAAACTAATATTTGCAATATTAAGAAGACAATGGAAAGTTTAACTTTACTACAGACTGTGAAATGATGTAAACATCGCAAGATGGACAAAATGAATATTTGTTTGAATAATGACAATGGCAGCTTGTTTGTTTCTCCCACCTTCGATAAATTTATTTCCACCCTGTTATTTTTGTATTACTGCTACACAGAGATGTACTGAAATAGGTAGAAGTGATGTGACTGCTGTAACAAAGAATACAGCAATATATTTAACGATGAAATCACATATTTAATGATCTAATTGATGGTCAGTGAACTGAGGTCCACTGTTATGAGTTACTTATATAAGAATGAATTTGTCACTTTGCTCCACAACAGAGCCAGAAATCTCAGAAAAAGTCATGTTTGGGTCACTAGTATCCTTAGCAGCCCCATCTTGTACATTTAGGTCACTTGGTTTTAAGGTTCAGTAGATTCTCATTTGATCTAGCATCTACACTTTGACAGCATGAGAAACAACATTCACTTGTCTAAATCAGTTCTTACTCTTGTTATCTCAGCACTAAGAAGCCAAGACACCAGAACAGTGGAAGCTGAAGGAGATGTCGATGATGGAGAAGATGACAATGATGGAGAAGAGGACATCTCCAGCACGGCGGGGCCCCAGCTAGCCGGCGGAGTCACTGAGAGATCCAATAGCACCTCCAATGGACGTTCCTCCCAGATCCTCTACGTGATCACGTCCAGCCCCGGTAAACCGGAGCACAACATGCCAGGTCAGTGGGCTGGACGCAGCGAGACCACTGGCCACAATGCTAGTATGTTAACACCCACTACACACTGCACCTACTGCACTTCTCTCTACCTCTGCAGGGATGTCGTGGGGGGGGTTCTTGGATAGAGCTCCCATTCAGCATGACATGGTTTCTCTGAAAGTCTTAAAATCATCTCAGTTTGCTGAGATACTTCTAAAAGGTCTCACCCAGAGTGACTTCCTGTGATCATACATAGAAGTAATGCTATGTGACATGCTTGTTTTTTTTCCTGTTAGTGACTCATATGTGGAAGTTACGTTGGGTCTCCATGCTGATCACAATCAGGCCTCTTGTCAAAGCTGCACAGGGTGGACCGATCTGTTCTGTTCTTTTTTATTTCTTTCAAATATTATTCTTTCCAAACTCTGAGCTCTCCGTCTCAAAGGGCTATCTGATGTATTTCTCAGGCAGAGGAGAACAGATGTGCACTGATAACGCATCGCCGTTTCTTGACAGTTTGCTGGCGGAACACCGCAAACAGCTGTGCCAGCAGTGCTTGGATAATTCTTTGCTTGCTAATCCTTTCAGTCTGCTTCAGTTAGTTTTCATTACTGTGATGTAATACCTAATGTCTCGTTACTGTGCTGCTCGCTCTTTGTAGTGTGGACCATCTACGCTCTGGCCGCACTCCTCATACTGACTGTCATAGCCATGGTGGCAAAGCTGCTGCTGCATATCACAATCAAGTAAGTATGAGGATGTTTATGGTGCACGTGAACAGCTGAGCATCAAATGTCAAAGCATTGATCTGTTGTATTATGTTTCATTCATGCTGTATTGGAAAATGTGAAAGAACAGGATGACAGTCACATGTTTCAAGTCCCAGTGTGTAGCATTTAGCAACCTGGGTGAAGTTTATGTAAGAAAAATAATAGTTGATCATTTTACGTAAACCAAAAATAGTGTTCCAGTGCAATAAAGATCATATTAAGTGGTCGACGAGCTTCTACTTACCTAGTGTTTTGCTGTTCACTTAAGCACAATCAAAGCACTTTACAATATTTTGGCTATTTGCACACGGATGGCAGTAGCACTCAGGAGCAACTTGGGGTCCAGTGTCTTGCCCAAGAACATATAGACCAGAGAAGCCGGGTATCAAACCTTCAGCTCTCTGGTTTGAGGACAGCCCACTCCACCTTCTGAGCCCCAGCCACTTAGATACACAACAAAGTGTATAAAAGCATCCATCACTGTAATTGACAGTATGGCATGAATGCAACATCAGGAATGCACGTTTAGAAGGCGCTGTGCACCCTTTGTAAATCATGTTCTTTCTGCAACCCCGTTCCATTATTTCTCTTTTTATATTCTGCTTCTATTTTATCTCTTACTCATGTCTGTCTTTACTGTCTCTCTTCCTCTCCTCTTTCCTCTCAGGTCCCCGAACATCCCAACAGTGAGTGGTTCCGACAGCTGCAGCCAGAGTACGGCATCCTCTGAGCCTTGGATCATCCTGTACCGGCCTTCCACCATCTCCCTCTTCAAGAAGAAACTAAAGAACCACCATGGTGACCTCAGCCCCCTGGTGGGCAACTAGCGCCACTGCTGCGCTCACTGTTAACCAAATTCTACCACCACCCACAGCTACTCTGTACAAGGGCCATCAGATGGCAGGCCCTCAGACAATGAAACTCTATGAGGCACTACGCTAGCAAGCCAACAACTGTTGACAACTGAGTGAGTGACTGCTACTAAATGGCCAAAGTAGTTGGGCCCTCCCATCCTGCTCAGCACCTAAGAAGAGGGGGGACAGGCGGTGTTGCTGGGAGAGGAGAGCAGAGAATTGGATGGCGGGAGACCTGCAACTTGGACAACGATACAAGGACACTTGTAACATGCTGGAGGCTTCTCCTGTACAATGAGGCTTGATTTCCATCACCCACGGATGTCCCTGTCAATCAACATACCTCCAAAAACCCTTGTCAACAGTGACACAACACAACACAGCAAGATGTGGAATACCGGCTAACTTCACTGTTACTTTGTGCTCAGTTTAGGAAACAGGGAAGTTTACCTCTTCCCGATGCTTCTGAGTCACAGTGGCAACCAAATCTTCATCAGTATCAAGGAGAGGATGAAGCAATGGAGTGTCTGGAACACATACACATGTGCTGTAACAGTTAACAGCTCAACAGTTTTGTGTAACTCATCTAACTGCCTCATCTGGACAATGAACGCTTGCAGCCAAAAGCCAGAGTCCTCCCATCCAAAGAGTGTAGTCCTTTGTTTTTTGATTCCATATGCAAAATGTTAATGTTTTTTTTTTTATGTGTTTAATGTGACAACTTTCTGAGGAGAGGGAAACAGGACACGGAAGCGTCACACAGAAGGTACACTAGATATCACAGCACTTTGGGCATGAGTCACTCCCCGTAAAATGAAAAGATCAGAGAGAAGGAGAGCACGCGCACCCACTCGTTCACTCAGCACGCATGTGGATTTGGGTGGAGAGAAGAAGTAGTGTTGTTCCCCTGGGCTGGGTGGGGGGTGGGTGTTGCAGTTTGCAGACAAACTGTCGTTTATGCAGGCTTGGGAAGCTCTGAGGGCTTTTTCTGCTCGGTTGTGGGTGGGAGCCTTTCCGGTTTGATAGTATTCAAGTGCCTTAAGGGTCTCCTCTTCCCTTGTCTCAGATTCCTTAAATCTGCTTCTGTGAAAAAGCAGATTGGGGGGGGGTCCCATGAAGAAGTCTACATGTCTTTGACATCACCATGGATGTGGAGAGTTTCATTCTAAATTCACATTCCCACCACTTAAATGTAAAGCCATCAGTGATTAATCTTTTTATCCATGGTACACACAACACAAGACCTCTCCAGACAGAATGTTTAACATTGTTATTGTGTGATGGACATTAGATGCCTTTTGGAATAGAACTCTTCATGTAGTAACAGACAAGGCTTTAAAAGAAATGTTTGTTTCTGACTTCTATGTGTTTTGTGTAGTCTTGGACATTTACTGAACATATTGTTCGCATTACGTTGTCTTTTGATTACAGAGGGATAAATATTGTTGTATATTATGTAATTCAGTGTGGGAATGATAATATTTATGTACGCTCTTTAATTTTGTGTCTCGGCAAAGCATTTGAGAGAACCGTCAAAGTACTTTTGTACTTAGTTCAAAAGTGGAATGCATTTTCTCTCTTCTTAGACAGCAGTAAATTGTCTAAAATCACAGGATGCTGCAGACCCTGAAGCTTTTACTTGTCACCTTGATTTCAGGCCAAAAGGTTGAGCACAAACAATTTACCAAGACAGAAATATAACCAAAAGCACTCAGTGGTGCTGTGCACAAACTAACCCCAGTTTTGCAGCTGTGGCAGTTTCCTGCACATTGCTATGACATTTGAAGTACTTGTGAAAGGTCAAAATCTACTAGTACGCCACTAGCATAGTAATTGGCCCTCCCTGCCATGGGACTAAATGTTATCATGGGTTTCTGCAGATGGTCGCCCCGGATATCTTCTAATCACTGTCAGGATAAATAAAAAAAATAAGGTCCAAATGTCAATGCACTTAAATTTGCTTCGACTTTCAAAATGAAACAGTACTTATTCACTTATTCATTCTGCAAAATTAAAATGTACTTTGTGCAGCAACCAGAGCACTTGAGACAAAAGGTTACACACATGGTGCAAAATCACAGTGACATTCAAATCAAAAGATGTATAGCTTTCAGGAATAAGACATAATTTGAGGGCCAAAAAAAAGATGAAAACACTTACTTTCCTGATCTGAGGTTTGTAAAAATGTGGCTCTGTGCTGCAGTATATTCTGCCTGTCTGCTCAACTGGAACTCATGTTAATTATTTCAAGACAAGAGGACATGCCTCTGGGTCTGTGATGTTCAGAGCAGACCATGTGTCAAGAGCACGAGCAAGTAAAAGCGTAGACATCAGACTGATAGGAAATTAATGTGCGTTCAAATCAAACACAAGATAACAAAATCTGACATTCCGACTCTAACAAGGGCATATTTGTTTGGAAAGCCTGGTAAATTATGCTAAATCCCATTTTCTGTTCTGTCCTGTAGTCAGAATCAATCAGAAAATTATCTTCTGAGCAGTGAAACTAGTTGATGTGGATGTTGTATGTAGTGCTCGATAACAAGAACAGCAGCACAAGCCCTGTGGGAAATGATCTGGAGGGGTTGAAAGCTTGTTCATTCAATTGTAAATAGCAAAATAGTGAAAATTTTAATTTATACAGTAAATTATTGTTATTTTGTATGTGAATGGGATATAATCTATCTTTTGATAAGTGAAGTACCTTTGTAGTTTTATTTAATGTGTTCTGGTTGCAAATAAACACCGTATGCATGTTTCTTAAGCCCGGGTTGTGCTTGTTCTTTTGTTGTGCCCGGTCCATTTGTTTCACTATTAAACAGAGTGTTGCATAACTGAGTTGCTGACAAGCATATGGGCCACCAGATCAAGCTAATCCCAATCATTATTTCCATTTGAAACCTTTATTTTTTGCATTGTGTGTGAAAATCAAAAGATGCAGAGTGATTTTCTAAAATCTGTTTTGGCTTAAATGGCTCCAGTGTTTGCATAGTGGGACATCTGCACCCCCTTATCTTTTTCTTTCTGTGTAGCTAAATGCTTATTAAATATGTGAAATGACTCCCACAGTATTTGGAGATGCGCGCACACAAGGAGAGAGGATTTGAAGGGCCATGTGTAACCCATTGGCTTCCCTCCGGGTTGAGGTCAAGCATGCAACCTGCACATTTTAGAGGGAACAGCAGGAGACCAGCTTTACAACTGGAACCCTGAAAAAAACAAACATAGAGGGGTTTGTAAGAGGTTGGAACACATGATGTTTGCAACAGTGATTTCTTAATTCATGAAAGCTGTTTCTGTGTTTCTTTCATCGAGTGCACACTCTGGAACTGTTTAACCACTGGTTTTTGTTTCTCTGCAGCAGTTTGCCCTGGCTATTTGTTGGCTAGGTGTAACTGTGTAGGAGCACAATTTGTCGAATACACCAATGTGAAGTTGTCTTGGTCATAGGCTTACAAAACAATCCCAAATCGAGTTTCCTCTGAACCTCTGATGCTGCTCACTGATCCACATTTTACAGCACAACACTCAGGTAGAAGCTAAAAGAATACTGATGCTCTAACATATGAAACCTCACACAGAGCTCAGAGGAACACACAGTGTTTCAGGTCATTTGGAAATGAATTTGATTCTCCTGCTATCAGAAAGACACATTCCAGTACAGGAGAGTGGAAGCAGGGAATTGCAAGTGATTCTCTTACTCCCTCTACCGGAGATGTTTGAACATCTTTCCTCCATGCCTACAACCACACTAACATATCAAATCTCTGAGGCCTTCTGCACACCCTTCTATTGACCCCAGATGTTTTTCTCTCAGTAGCACTCATGTAGCTGTAGCATTATTGTTTACCTAGCATTTGGGTCCCTGTGGAAAAGTCATGGCCTGCAGACCCCCCTCCAGTCAACCTTCCCATAGCTAAGGAAAAGAGAGCAATGTAAGCAGATCGCTGTGACCCTGAGTCGACCAGTAATTAAGGCAACAATGGGACAATACACGGCAGGGTCTGGTTACTGTAAGAACGAGAAAGTGAGAAGAATGGAAGACAATACCTGCCACTTTCTGCACTCAGGCTGTGGAAGTCAGGTAGATTAGGAGAAAGGTACAGTTAGAAAAACAAGGAGCTAGGCTGCCTCTATGGATTTGAAAAAGAACTGTATGAATGAGGTTTACTGGCCATGCACGAACATGTCTGTTTTGATCCGACTCACTCTGCAGTATTGTCTATGACCCCTGTGCAAGTAAGGCAATCTTACAGTATGCCCTTAAGTGGTTTTGTGAACATGTGTTGGCCTGTTTAATGCTTGAGATTTCCCTTCTATTACTGAAGCTTTGAAAGCTGTTTATCTTTCTTATTCATATCATTGTATTATCTTTTAAGTCATTAACTGTGCAAAAATGTTAAAGATTCTTCCTTTTAAAAGTGAGGATTTGCAGCTTTTCTGTTTTTATCATTATAAACTGAATAGGAGGGCAGCTAGAGCTCAGATGCTAAAGCTGCCTGTCAGTGGTGCTCCTCCTGTCCTTGTGACAAATTTTCCTTGAGCAAAACACAGAATCAGATTGACTGAATTAATGATAGTGATAATTAGTTGTATGATTATATGCTATAACGGTTGTGATATGAGTCAGTAAAGTAAAAAGAGATTAAAAAGATACAATCTTAGACCTATCACCAAGACCCATAAGAAATTTTACCATGGTAAAATTTTGCATAGGGATTTTTTGATATTATACAAATGTCATAAATACATAAACAAACAAACAAAGTATATTGAAATGTAGGTCAACAGAGCCTCAAACAGCCTCTGACTCATACTGTTTCATAAACACATTTATATAAATCACAGCCCTCCTACAATGTATAATGCATCCATGTTTTCAAGCTTATACATACATACACACGCACACACATATACAAACACATTCATACATAGTCGCATGTGAATGACGTCATACTGACGCATAATTGAAGAACCACACAATATGGCTGCGTCCGTGATTCTGCGACTCCAGAGGGTGATCCGTCTTTCTCACGGAGATATTAACGTTGTCGCTGCCGGGGTCTCTAGTCGGTCAGGTTGCTGTTGGGTACAGTCGTCTTGTCGTTGTTTCAGCGATGCAGCCGATGACAGACGCACGCATTTTGGTTTCGAAACGGTTCCGGAGGCAGAGAAGGCGAAGAGAGGTGAGTGACCAGCTGTGCTAATGAGCGATACGTTCGGCTCTCTACTGCTTAGTTGTCGTCGTATTTTGTTGTTTATTGTCATAACTTAAGTGCTGTGTGTCATAATGTAAGAGGAATTACAGGCAGATAGGAAAGATGTCGTAAAGACAAATTAAATATTTTTGACCAACTTGATTTTACATCTGGCAGCTTAAAACATCCCACTATGGGGTCAAAAGTTAATTTAATCTTTTAAATAGGCCACACGTTGCGTTGTGGTGGATCAGTTATAGATACTGTCAGGGATAAGGAATTGGACGTGACACGACCTTTATTGGCATAAAAATGACCTTTATTCGTTACCTAAAGTTGAAAAAATGAATTAAAGATAATCACACAAAGCATAAAATCTGCAGGATGAAAGCAAACCTGAGTGTTAGAGGAGACACAGATGTTCTCTTTTCATCTTTGCTTTTTCAGTGTATAAGGTGTTTGAGAATGTTGCTCAGAAGTATGACATTATGAACGATGCCATGAGTCTGGGGATTCACCGACTGTGGAAAGATGCACTGCTGCACGCTATGCACCCACTGCCTGGTGCACGACTCCTGGATGTGGCAGGTGGAACAGGTAAAGCAGTTTGTGTGCACCTCTTTGAAACAAAAAAAAATTCAGCCTTAAATCCCCACTACTGTCACACTTGTGTTTTGTTTGTGCTGCTCCTCCCCTGCAGGTGACATTGCTTTCCGTTTCATGGCATACATTCGCTCTCAGCAGGAGCGGCAGAAGCATCGAGCGGCACGGCCCATGCAGACGTCACCATGGCAGGACATTTCCAGCAGCTACTCTACAGAGGACGAGGGCGGGCCACAAGAATCCAGAGCTGTGGTCTGTGACATCAACAAGGAGATGCTGAAAGTGGGCAAGCAGAAAGCTGACAGCATGGGCATCAGTCCTGGTACGTCATTCACTAGAAATCTGCTTCAAGTGTCGTTAAGCAAAGCTTTCTGGTGATGTGGTGATGGTGAGGCAGCCAGAAAACTAGCCATTGTGAGCTGCTTCTCTGGGGTCAGGTTGCAGTGGCAGCAGGCTCAGAGGGGTAGTCCAGACATCCCTCTCCCCAGCAAGGCTTTCCAAGTCCTCCTGGGCGCCCCCGAAGATGTTGCCAGTCTATATTAATCTCTTCACTGTATTCTGAGAAAAACTGTGATTGTAGATACTAATAATGGAGAAAGGCAGAGAGACAAGCTGACAGCAAGCATTGCTGCTCTGGTCTTCACCCACTGGCTCAGAGCTGGGAAACTAAACCCATTATGTTTAGTACACCAATCCAGGCAGCTGCACACTAGTGTGGGTTGATATTCATCTCAGTCAGTAGTGAAATAACTAATGGTGGGGATGTTTATTAGTTGAAAACAATCCTGCAGGACAAAAAAGAGCATTGAGAGACCTGGATACCTTTGTAATGTTGGCTGTCAGGTTACTGGATGTTCCATGGGAACAGTATGACCAGAGGCAGGACAAGGCTCAAAACTAGGAAACTAGCTTGCATGTAAATATTCACTGAAATAGGCTGAGCTCTAATGTAGCTGTACAGTTGTTACTGTGGGACGCTGTGAGTTAAATGGATGTTCTGCAGCATCTGTATGCATGAACACGTGTAATTTGCACTCTCATTCATCTCCAAGCATTCTGGAAATCACACCCCTGAGTGCACAGACTGGGGCTATAGATATGGAAAATGTTAATTATATGTGTATGAGATTTTTGTTCAGCCATTCATGATTTGAACAGAGTAAATAATAACGGCTGCAGAGTTATAAAACAGAACCGTTGTTAAAAAGCTATAAGGTTGTAAACTGGTATTACAGTTATCAATGCAGTAGAAACCAAGATTGGTCTTTGAAATGAAGAAACCAGCTGTGTGTGCTTCTGTGTGTTGATGTGTCTCAGGTCTGTTGTGGGTGGTGGGGGATGCAGAGGAGCTGCCCTTTGACGACGCACAGTTTGATATTTACACCATCGCCTTTGGCATCCGCAACGTCACTCATATAGAGCAGGTAACTGATCAGACTGTTAGGCCCAAATGTCAAAAAGGAGGAAACTGTAGGTCTGTATTTCATGGTATCAGCCTGCAAGTGCAGCAGGTGGAATATTTGTAACACTGAGTGTGTCCAGCCTTGTGCTGTGATATGTCTGATAAAATGTGTGTCAGAGAAAACAGTTCAAAATAAAACTGTTGCAACATATTGATTCACATTGTAAAAAAAAAAAGACATATTTTACTATTGGTTGCGTCTTCATCTCTTCATCTCATGCATTAACAGGACTCAGTTAAGCCTGTTTTTCTCATTGTATGCTTCATTATAACTGCAACTAATAATTATACTAGATATTGACTATCAGTATTTTAAATGTACCTTTCAGTGGATACAAATCTAAAAAAAACATGGTAAAAGAAATTCTTTAAAGGTTTTGCAGGTCAAAGCTGATGTCTACTAATTGCTAAGAATTGATGTTGATGTGATCCATCGAACCTAAACTAACTTTTTTGTTAAGGCACTTCAAGAGGCTCAGCGGGTCCTGAAGCCCGGTGGCAGGTTCATGTGCCTAGAGTTCAGCAAAGTGACCAATCCTCTCCTGGCAAGGTGACGTGTACTCATGTATGATGCACGGCTCGGTGTGAATGTACATCAGAGCTGAGATGGTAAAAACATCTCTGTAGATTTATTACTGCCTGTTTTTGACGTGTGCTTGGAGACGAGCTATTGTAGAAACTAGACAAGTCTGTGGGGAAAATTTAATGCATAAAAGACCAAATTAGAGATTTTCAATTCCACCTTGTTTTGCAAGAACTAATAATTATTTTGACTATGATGTTACGGTATTTGTTTATTTGTCACCTCCTGAAAGAGACCCAACAATATCGAGACATGTCTCATGTACTCCTCTTCCTCGGCGTTACTAAGTACACATTTGGAGATATTTATACTTGTCAGTTTATTAGGTACACTTAGCTAAAACTAATGCAGTCTAATCTGACCGCCGTGCACTAAATCCTCCTTTGTGAAGGTGATGTTCAGGTTTTGGAGAGAGGTGTTGACTGGATGATCATTTGTATGATGGGGGCTACAGTTTTTGCTGCTGTAGAATTTTATTGCGCTACACTGACAGGTGTTTCTGTTATTTTGTCTACCTCGTTTATATCACTGAGGCCAGGCTATATAACAGAAACCCCTCTCTATAATGCCATACTTTCATTAAGGTAGGACTTATTGCTGGGCTCCTGCATTATACTGCATTACTTTGAGCTAGGTGTACCTAATGAACTGGCAGCTGAGGGTTTTTTTGTCACTACAGTTCTCCTACAATCTGCAAATGTGAGAAATGTGTCTACTTTATGTGATTTGGACAAACACTGCCCTCTGCTGGTTTTGCACCATATAGCAGTTAAGTGAATCCCCTGATAAATGTGAGCTGGCTGCAGAGTTAAAGGAGTGAAGGGAACTTTCCAGCTACATGCTGTGGACAGACCAAAATCTGTGGAGGTTTTCACTCCAGCCACTGATTGGCTGAGAGAAAGAGCTCTTCACTGAGCTGTTGACACAGGGTTACCTTTGCTGTGTGTACCTGCAACCTTTTAATATCTTTTAGGTGAATATTATCAAAGACACAGGCAGTAATTCCTAACTATATAAATCAGAGCTATATTTACATACATGCAATTTAAGAGTTTGACTTTATAAAACAAAAAAGCACTTAATTGAAAATATCCCCCCCCCCCCTTAAAGAAAACACTGCAGACATAGACATGGCTGCACGCCTACAAGCTGTTAGTTAGATGTGTGATATATCTGAGAGTGACAGCAGGTTCCAGCTGTGAGGAAACAGCTTGTGGCTCCACTGGTAACTTGTATCCTGTTCCACTTTTCAGGCTTTATGATGCATACAGCTTCCAGATGATCCCAGTTTTGGGAGAGGTGATTGCCGGAGACTGGAAGTCTTATCAGTATCTGGTGGAGAGTATTCGCAAGTTCCCAGACCAGGTGAGAAATGTATTCCCTTCTCTGTCTCCCCATTTCTGTCTTTACTGCTTTCACTTTGGAAATATGGAAGAAAAACTCAGCATATTATATGCAGTGGTTGGAAAGTAATTAAGTACACTTACTCAAGTACTGTACTTAAGTACAATTTTGAGGCTAGTGGTTAAGGCGCAGCGCTCTCGCCGCTGCGGCCCGGGTCGAATCAGGGTTGCGTCAGGAAGGGCATCCGGCATAAAACACTTGCCAAATGTCAACATGCGAGTCGTCAGTGTGACGATTCGCTGTGGCGACCCCTAAACGGGGAAAAGCCGAAAGTGACTTTCTTGTACTCGAGTATTTTCATTTTACTTTATACTTTGACTTCACTATGAGGCAAATATTGTACTTTTTACTCACAATTCTCTGATAGCTTTAGATACTAGTAACTTCAGAATTGAATCAACTATAAAAAGCCTATAAGGTTAAAATAAGCTCCACCTTTACCAGCTGCAACATTAATGTGATGTACACAATAAGTCCTTAGTAAATATAATCCAACAATATGATATATGTTAATGTGAAATGTGCTGTTCAGCTTAATTAGTACTTTTACTTTTGCTATTTTAAGTATATTTTGATGCCAATGCTTTTGAGGTTTTAAGTAGAAGACGTTTCACCTCTCATCCAAGTTTTTTCAGCGTACTACGACCTGGATGAGTGAGAATTTGCACGGACACAGTACTTTTGAACTTAACATTTTGGATGCAATACTATTACTTGTAGCAGAATATTTTTTAAACTGGTAATTAATCAGAGTAGTTCTTCCATCACTGATTATATAAAGCAAAGAAACCGGTAAATCCTCAAAGGTAAAAACTGGAACCTGAAAACTATTTCAGTGATTTATCATCTATAAAAACTTGTGCTAATTTTCTATCATTTGAGTCATTGTTTCAATCCTATTTGTTAATGTATAAACCTTTAGATCATTTACATTTTTTTTTCAAGCTAATTAAATTTCTCACTTGTTTGCCACGTGTGTGCAGCTGTGTCACTTTGTGGATTTGGCATCAGAAAGTAATTTTTGCTCTTTCTTCTGCAGGAGGAGTTCAAACATATGATTGAAGATGCAGGTTTCTGCTGTGTGCGGTACTCCAGCTTCACTGGTGGTGTGGTAGCTCTTCACTCTGGTTTCAAGCTGTGAGATCCATTCCCAGCACCTCCTCTAACTAGCAAAGAGCCTGGCTCAGTTTCAGACTGTTCTGCCTGTATGACAAACTGTCTGCAGAGCATGAAGCCGCACATCTCCGTGCTGCTGCACAGTGACAGAGGTCAGTGGGCACACTTACTTTTTTCTGTTAAGGAAAACTGTACTTCTATTTTTACAAATAATGGCAGAGTAAAAACTAGGCTCACTGTATCTGCATTATCAGTGTTAAGACCATATGAGAACAGTTTGTTTTTGTAACAGATAAAAGTTGTTCTGAATATATGAATGGATTATTATCAAAGCTGCGACAGGCTAATGAGTAATTACTACTAATGATAAAACTTCTTGAAACAAACAAGTGCACACATCAATGTGGGATGTAAATAATAGAAAGGATGATGCCACAACACTTGTTACTTGAATAAAACTGTATATTTTACAGATCTTTGTACACTTTAATTACAAAACTGTATGGTACTAAAGTTTTAAAATCAGTTTTTTTGGTCAGAGAAGATTTAATCGTCTTGTGTGCAATTACCATGTACTGTATATACAAACTCTCATGTTAGTGATTTTTCTCAAAATAAAAAGTAACCAAATAACTCAAACGTTTAAACACTCTGAACATAAGACATGGCTTAAAGATAAATATATTAGTAAATAAATATTCAGAGAACATATTTCCATTTATGAAATGTGTTTGCTATACAGGTACAGAAATATACACAGATTGATTTCTAGCCTTTTTTTTAAACATTTGTAATGTAATGACAGAAAATAATTATATTCTTAAAAAATATTAATTTTGTACATATTTTAATCTTAAGTGCTAGAAACAACAAAAATTAAATAGTGACTCAAGTACCCCAAAATGTTATATTTGCAGTAGGTACATATCTCTATGCAAAAGGCAAGATTAGATTCTCACTTGATTACAGCACTGGGTTAACTTATAAATAGGGTTATTTCAGAAGGTTTTCCTCTGTGTAGAGAATGTGTATATTTCATAGAAACAGTATAAAAACAGTCTGCAGGACAAACAAAGGCATGAATGAAAAGCAACGATATATAGCAAATATGTATTATGCACAGCTCTACGATTCAAACGGATACTGTGGTATGTATAACTGCATCGTTAAAAGAAAAGTCACAGTACAACAAGAAACCCTTATGAAATCAGTCTTTTCCAGCTACGTTCCTTTGGCCTTTTGATACATGCTAGAAACTTTAGGAAAATGGGTGACAGCGAAAATGCACTTTTAAGGGTTTCCAGACTAGAGGTAGAGTCCTAAACTCTACTTCTGAAACAAAATCTACTGACCCAGAGACACAGGTGCCTCGGTCTGCAGTTAGACCAAAGCGGTGCAGTGTCTGTAGATTGCTACAAATAGCTTACCGGTGTAAGGCTTTCATGTTGTTCTGGCACATCTCATACAAGTAGGCAACTAATGGACAGAAATGCAATGCATAAAACAAATTCTGTAATATACTGAATAGAGACCAGTGTCAGCCTTGCATTCACATTTTTATGCACTTTTCTGTAATATATATAGCTTCTTCTCCTCAGAGAAATGTGTGAGTCACAGAAACTTAGACCCATTTCCCTGCTGTTGAAAAAAAGGCTTTCTGTTTTGGTATAGCTATACCCATATAAACTGTTTGAGTTGGTGGTTGAAGCTTTATGGGCAGTCAGTGTTCATGTGTGCACATATACTAAATGTATACATGTAGATGCAGATGCCTGTGAACTAAGAAGAATCTGATTCCTCGGCCTTGCAGAAATTCTAGATATTTTGTTGTTGAAAAAAAGAAATCACCAATTAGGTAGCACTGAAGGGCCCGAACCCCTCATGGCCACAGTCAGTCTGTAAATACACTCACCAGCCACTTTAGTAGGCACACCTGCACAATTTGCATGCACTGTATGTACTTCAGTGCAACACTTGCGCCTTAACATCTGTGTTTACCAAGCTCCAAATGTTTGTTTTTGGTGAAATTGTCAAATGTTTAAATTCAATTATACATTTATTACTGAGGTCATGGTTAAAGGTGATGTTGTACTGGACTACATTATATTCAGAGGTGTTCCTAATATTCTGACCCTCTCAGGTATGTAGCTAAGGGGGACAAAAATATAGATACCTAAATATATTGTTCAGCCCAACACCACCTTTAACTATGACCGCAGTAATAAACATATAATTTAATTTGACAATTTCACCAAAACCTGAAAAATGTTTAGCTTCATAAACACAGATGTTAAGGCGGAAGTGTTGCATTGAATTGCGTACAATTGTACAGGTGCACCTAATAAAGTGGCTGGTGCGTGTAGGTGCCAGTACCAACCTACTTCTAGTTAAAATCCCCCGTTCATATTTTTAGTATCACTTTGTCTCAGTGCTATCGTAACAGTTTGACGCTGAGACGTTTGTGGCCACAGGAAGGAACTTGATACAACGTACATCTAGAAGCGGCAGGTCATTTCAGTAGAACAATCTAAGGTGTTAACATTCAGTGCTCAGAGAGCAAGGTTAGAACAAGGCAACTGAGGGTTTCCATGGGTAAATCCCAATTCCTTCATTAGCTCTTTCCTCACTCGTCAATCCTCAACCAACCTGGGGGTCATCCCGGTCTGCCATCTTGAAGGATGACAAAAGCTCTTATCCTGAGGAGTGATGATCGAGGACTAATTGTTAATTTATAACCGTCTGCGACTACTTGTAGGCGTCAATGTGTACCTATACAGCGAAGGAGTTTATGGGTAAATGTAGGCCGCTGATGGATGCAGATAGGTCGACGCGCACACTTCCCAAATCTCAACTACATGTTGTGTGGAACTGCTCGCCCTGCGTGCCGATTGGTAGATCTGACTCTGCTCCGACCGAGACGTAGCTGCCTGCTAATTGGTCCGCTAGCGGGCACTCGCATCTCCAAAAATGTTGATGCAAATTTCTAAACTGGCAATACTTGGCTAGACTGGCCATCTATTCTCAATCTAAATGGTTACTTTCTCACCTGAAAGGAATAACCCATAATAAAGTGGCATAATACCAGTCCTAAGACAAATTATAACAGCGCTTAAACCTGGCTCAAAATCTCTGCCATTTCCATTTCCCGACTTCTATTTTTTCTGCACTTTGCTGTTTGAGCAAAGTTGGAACGTTAACATTTGCAGAAGTATAAATCAGGCTTAAGGAGACCGCCTGGAGGAACCACGAGCAAAGATCCAAGAGACCATACCTCACACAAGTCTTTAAGGACCAACACATCCCTTTATCAGAAATCAGTTGGTGATTGGACACGCCAGATGAAGAATCAGAGTAAAGTCTTATGTCTATGAAAACTCATTTCCTTGATTCCTCTCTCCTTGCATTTTATTCTTGGATCTTTTCCACGCATTTTACATGGGCGAGACTAAGAAGCAAGTAAGGGAATTGAGATTTACCCAATGACTGACTGTTATGGTACCAAATACATGCTTTTGACTGAGTCTCTTCGCTCTGGGCTTACATTCATATACCCAGACCTCCCTCATTTGTCGAAGTATTGCTTCCCAGTGCAACGGCGCTTGCAGTGAGCTGAGGGTGGAACAAAGCTCTGGCCTCCTCCTCCTGAGGGTATGACTGACCTCTAAATTGTCCTGAGGTGAAGTACCCCTCCCTGGGCTCATGTCGCTCCCCTGTCCACACCTCTGCCTCCACTGTGACACTCATGGGCAGTAAATTACCCTGGGTCTCTGCCGCTGTGCCTAATTCACAATCTGTGTCCTCAGGAATTATGGGTATTCGCTGGTTGAGTTCACAGCAGCCCTGTCCAGAGCAGGCCTCTGATTCTGCATGTGCATACTGCACATTAACAGCATAGTCCTCAGTGTAGCGCCCTGCTGTGGCCCTGTGGACCTTCATCTCTTTGTAGAAGCAGCAAGGCAGCCCTTCATAGCCCACCTGCTCCGAGGAAGGGCACATGTGCTCTGAAGTAAAATAGTTCTTGGTGGCGGAGCTCTGAAAGTCCACTCCCATGTAACAGCGTCCAGAGGCCAGAGGCCCAGCTTGGTCCGAGTCCTGGGCTTTGCACTCCACATTGGGAGGAAGCACCTCAAAGCAGCAGCTACAGGCTGTAGCTCCAAGCTCCCCTGACTCCTCCTGCGCTCTTTTGCTCTTGTCTGTTCCAGTAGCCTCTGGAGCCCCAGCTGAGGTAGTGCTAGTGTTGCTGTTATCCCTGGGTTCCAGTGATGAGCGACTGCTGTGGTTGGGCTCCAAACTGCAGTTGGAGAGATGGTCCCCCGAGTTATATCCCGAAGCTCCAGGAGGGAGCTGGAGGCAGTCATGTCCCAAAGGAGCAAGGGATGATGAGTCCTCGGCAGGAACCATGCAAGCTGCAGCTCCTGCTTCCCCTGCAGAGCCCCTACACGGACTCTTACTTCGGTAGACGAAAGGATCGTAATCACTGCTCAGCGAGCTGCGAAAGGTAGAGCAGCTCCCGTACACCCCCTGGTTGCTGACCTCAGTACAGTCCAACATGGAATCGCTGGAGGAACAGTGGCACTGGCCTGAGCTGCTGCTGCTGCTGTCACTACCAGGGCAGTCAGCAAGGTAACCACTGCAGACTGAACGGTGGCCATGGTAACAGCTCAGGCCAGAAATGCTGCCATTATCGCCTATCCTTGAAGAAGAGGCAGGTGCCATGTGTACCACTGTGGGGTATAACAGCCCCTGTTGAAAGGCCCTGCTGTGGTGGCCCTTATGGACCCCTCCTGCACCAAGATGCCCTGCCACTGGAGGCCCTTGGCCACCCTCAGGCTGCTGCGGGAAAGTCAACCCCTGAAAATAGTAGTGCTGGTACATAGTCTCATATTGTGAAAAGCAAGCTGCACGGGAGAAGTTTCGACCATGGAACTTGGGTCGTTTAAAGGCGGCATGATGTGGCTGTGCCGGGTAGGCGGGAGGCCCGCGGTGCTCTAATCCACAGTGGTGAGGGTTGAGTGAGTGGTCCAGATGGAGGGCGGGGTGGTAGCTCCGAAGAAAGGCAGACGTTGACTGGGGTGGGTATAGACCTTGGGGATCTGGGTGCTGGTCCACAGTGAGCATGGTGATGGGGTTGCCATGGGGGTCCATGCTGGTTCTGGTTGGGTAGGCAGTCACCTGGCCAGCTCGGTGCACTCTGCCAGGATAATGGACTGGCAGCACCACCCGCTGTCGGCTGTGCACTGGGTTGCCAGGGTCCATGCATGCTGGTCCGGGATTTCCCTTCTTTTGCTCTGTGAAAATAAATAAGGCAACATCTAGAACCTCATACATGAAAACCTCTACTAGTGTCTTTTATTACCTGGGAACATTTTGTTCCTTAATGGATAAGTGTAGTTGTTGCTGGCCGAGTATTTCATCTAAACACACAAGCGCAAAAGCTAGATGTTGTGCACCAACTCACCAATGATGTTGTGTCTACAGTGGGGACAGGTGTGATGCTGGAGCAGCCAGGGGTCGACACACTTTTTATGAAATCTGTGAGCACAGGGAATAACCCGCAGCTCCTGTACAGGGAAATACAAGAGAATTTATACATCAGGTTTAATTTGTACTGATATTTACAAAGTACAAACAGAAGCAAAGAAAAAAAGGAGTAAACTAAACAATGTATTTCCTGAAGAAAATGTGTGTGGATGCTGATTGCTGAAGAATTGCCCTGAAGATGCTGAAATGGCTGAAATCCATTGCTGAAACAGCTGAAGGCTGTGATGCAATGCTGAATAATTATGTAAGATGACATGAAAAACTGAAGTTGGGATTTTAACTTCATCATCTGAAGAAGGTGAGAGTTTGAGAGCATTCCTAAAACAGTGGAAGGCTTAATCCCAAAGTGAGAGGTAGAAATTAAATGGCTTAAAGTTCTAAAAGAATAAATAAATGTTACTGTTATCCAAATCTTTATTTATACATTATTCTGGTTTCTTCTGTCTGTTTTTGTGAGTGTGATTTAGATCCCTTTGCAATCTCATTAACCATTAGCAGAAACCAATAAAAGTTCTAAATGTGCGTCTATGCAGTAGCTGGATAGCTTGGTGGTTAATGCCACTGACTGTGGTACGGCAGGTTGGGGTTTGATTCTCCGTCAAGGCACGATAGATCGTGGGAGGTAAGATAGAGTGGGTGATAGGAGTGAAGATGGAAGACAGATAGGGGAGGTACCTCCCATCGCTCCCTTTACCTGTCTATATGTAGAGTGTGAGTGATATCACCCACTCTAGCTCTCCATTTATTTGAATGGAGAGCTAGAGTGGGTAACAAAAATCAATCTAAAACAAACTGCGATAATTCAAAAACCGTAAAAGATATCAAAAAGCTGAATACAAGATGAATAGCTGAACTTGTCCTGACTTGTTTAAAGGTTGAATGGTTTTTCTAGTTGAAAGTATGCTGAAGCTATTAAGACTGAAATTGGAGGAAGATTTGAAGATTCTCCCAATGATGCTTACTCAGCATCCACACAAATTGACTATTGAGAAGGGCAGGGTGTCTATGCTAAGCATTCATTTAATAAATAACCAAACAGGGCAGGAGTCTGTAGTAGACAGAGGGCCTTGTTTCCACCATAAAAAAAAAAGAACTTTAAGGATATTTGATCCTGCATGGTAGCACCCTAAAGGACTTGTATAGCTTTAGTATAAAAGGTAAGTTAAGGCCTGTCCATTTCTTCAAAACACCAAATCCTGAAGTATCTGTGCAAAAGTGGTTTAGCTATTTTTCAGGGCTTGCACTGGTTATTCAGGCACCAACTACTGTAAACAACAATCAGACATAATTTCTCAAAGGGGGAATTTAAAGTGTCCCCAGCAGGTGGCAGCAAAGCAACGGAACTGAGCCCAATCCAGTTTTTAACTCTGAGGAGCGACTTTAAAATCACACCACCAACAAAACTCCTCACTAGATGCCACACCACAGTGCACATACAACTTGTATTTCACTGTTGTCTAGAACGAAACAAGCAGACGTACACAGAGGACTGATATGAAAAGAATGCAGCACTTTGCATTCAGATGGAGACTTGGCACAGAGGCAAACAGCAGGAGCAGTATGAATATGAATTCTGTTCCAGTGAGAGCTCTTTCACTGCCATAAATACTTTACTCTATGGCTTAATGTGACTCATCTTTGGGTTCTTTTCCACCCAAGCCTTTGTTGCTTGGTTCACTGCTGAAAAACCGCTTTGATGCCATTCAGCCTTTTATATTGCCACTTCCTCTGTGCAATCCTGGCGCCATGCTTTGTTGTGTTTTCTTCTCCTCCTTGCCAAAGAGAGACATAACCACAAAAAAAAGAGAGAGCAAGAGAGAAAAACAGACACCAGCTCTGTCCCCTGTGGGCTCCACAGTTTGTCCCTCTGGCCTCCATCAATGAGGATGAGCAATGCTGTTACAGTAAATCCTCAAAGTCCAAGATTAGGGGACATACTTTGGCAGTGATTCCTTCAAGGATTAAAGGAGGCCACACTTGGAAAAACAGGAAGCATAATCACAACCCAGTGCACTCTGGGTACCATTATCTCTCCAGGTGCTCTGAAAGACTTAACTAAACATCTGACAAGGCGCCGGAAAGAACGTCACATAAGATCGCGGGCCTGTGGTCCCCTAGCACATCAGGGGAACTTCCAATCTATTGTCCACCAAACTGCATTATGTTTCATGTCTGCAGACTATGTAATGACAGAAAACAAGCTCGGGGGGTAGATGACCACACTAGCACCGCTGGAGGTAAGAGATTTGGCTCCAACACGCTCTACTTAAACATGCATGATACTGCACATGACACTTTGGATAAAAGCATTCATCAAATGCAGATATTTACCACAGCTTACAGTAAATAAGCACAAGCACTGTGCAGAACATTCTTAGGCTAAACTAAAAGGAAGAAGAAGCAAACAAGCTGCTGATAATACTGCCCCTCATAATACGCTGTTTGTCACCAAGCTGAGGGACTGATGATTACAGAAAAACACCATAAAGCAAGCCATAGTTAATAGCTGAAACGTTAAAGTTATACAGTCTACATTCAGAGATACCAGTGGCATAAAGCAAAGCAGATGGCCGTCTTTTCTTACCTCCCCATCAATGTACTTCTCCAGACAGATGGCACAGTCAGAGGTGGAGCTGCTGCTCAGAGAATCCGAGGCTCCACAGCTGCTCTCACGCTGGCCCTTTCCTTTGGCCTTGAACTTCCGTGTCTCCATCTTTTCCAGAGCCTGGATGGCCATTCTGTTCATCGAGCTCTGTGATGGGGAGGGAGGTGGGACAGGGTCAGCTGGGAAATCTGCCTGCTTGATAAGCAACATTTAACTATTAAAAGGACACCTTAAAAGCTCTGCAGAACATAAAAGCCAATAAACACAAGAGCCAAAGACATTAAAAGGCAAAATCTTGAGAAGGCTTATTCAACTCAGTGATGTTGTTTTGGAGAAAACATCCAGTTAAGTGTCTGTACGTCAGTGCTGGCAAAGGTTTACTGGTGTCCATGCTCCTCTTTGCTGTGTCAAAGGGAAAGGTCTCAAATCATGGCACTATCAACTCTGTCACATCAGCAATGTCTGTGGCCTATTCTCTGGCCTCTTTTCACCTGTAGTTTGCCTTAGAAATGTTTATTAAAATACTATGATAAGTTGACATTCAGAACTACTTACTGGGATTAAACCTAATGATTTGCATGTGTCTTTGTGGTTTATAGCAGTGCCTAAACTGCTTAAATCATTTGTTTACAAGCAGCAATTATTTATCCTGGCCAGCAAGAGAGCTATTCTCATCACAGGGGGACAAACGTGAAAGATAAGGGCTATGATAATCACTATTCAGTATGTAATTAACTGTAGTCATGTGGCCAAAGCCTTCACAAAAACCTGATGTGATCAAATTCTCAGAGATGATTTGGAAATAAAATTGTCAAAGCGTTACAGTTAAATTGGACAGAAAATGTTAATATTGTACAGTAAGACAATATTTTCTCCACATCATTAATTTTTCAAATTTCAGGAAGGAAGAGGTTGTTACGTGTGACAAATGTATCCCCAGTGTGAGCTGATCTCTTAATTAGCCGCCACAGGAAGTCATGACTAAGTCATCCGCTGCAGTGACACACACCCCTTATACACAGACGCTCTGTGACAAAGAACATGTACAGTCTACACAAACGGGTGTGCTGGCAGGATTACACCGGTACTAACGGATGCCGCTGCAGGTTTCCTGGTATTTCATAATATCTCTGTGCATTTAGATCAGACAGCCAGCCTCTCATTAATTAAATGCTAATCCTGATTCATTCATCCTACACAGGCCTCCACTGAGAGCTTTTCGTCAACACAGGAAAGGAATCCAGCGAAGTCATGTTGACTGGGGACACACGGCGCTACATTGTGTATTTGGGTGTGTTTCGGGGAAGAGGCAGACGTTAAGTTTGGTCCCATGTGACGCAAACTGGGATAATTATTAAAGTTTCTCAAGTTCCTCTGTATACTTGTATTTTAGAAAAAGGGTGTTTGCAGACACTAACCTGGCTTCTTCTTTGCTTGAGTTTGATCTTGATGAGCAGAATGAGGCACACGAGTGACACAACCACGAAGAACGCCAGGAAGATGCCCATGTCAAAATATTCCATGGGCTGCTGTGGAGAGGGAAGGCAGGAGAAACACACATCTGTCAAATAAACTTCACATGCAGCTGCTTAACAGAGTCGTTAAAGGAGGCAAAACTGTTGCATTTTTCATTTCCCTTCACTGGGAGCGCAGGATATCTGATTCCGGTTTTACTCAGCTGACGTCCACATTATGCAAAGACAATTTAAAAAAGTGATCGTCACAGTTGATTCTCTGGGGCTTTCTAGAACAGATACATGGCTGGTTATTCATGCAAATCTCAATCATTTTCTTGATACTGTGTCAGTAGTTTACTCTTAATCGACTAATTGATCAAGAGCCAATTCATCCTCAAATACGGATTTGGATTCTTAGTTATTTTTAAAGCGAGCATGACAAACATTGTGTGGTTCAGGTTTCTTAAAGGTGAGGATTTATTGTTTTTTTTTCTAGTTTGTCATTAAAAAGTACCATAAATACCTCTGGGTTTGGGACATTTAAATAATTCATCACCTTGTGTTCTCGTGATGAGTATGTTCCATGATTAATTGATTTAGCTGCAGCAGCTGTGCAGCTCCTGCACAGTTCAAGACAAGATTGTAATGTTTTCTTGAGAGGCAGGATGCAGAATAAAAACTCATCTGACCTAAAAGGGCCAACTATCTCATAACTTCACTATCCGTGTCTCAAACTGCTGAGAAAGGCAGGCTGTTTAATTTTCTCTTGGGCTTTCATTATGTCAAGTTATTTGACCTCAAAGTGTGTTAGTCTCTTATCAAATATTCCAAGCAAACAAACAGCTCTTTGAATGGCTGATATTAATCTCTCACAGCGCTGCAAAAAAAGTCCTTGGCCTTGGGGCAGCGGAGAGCAGAGAAGAAAGGAAAAGGGTCTGATTTCACAGCTGGAATTTTCATTTGTCTTCACGTCTAAGCCTTTTCAATGCTGTTTGGTGCGTGGGCCTTACAAACATGTTCACCTCTTCCTCACACACACGTCAACTGAGTGGTTTTGTTTTTTTTTTTGCCATGAACTCTTACCCTCGGTGGTCTGTGTTGAATCCGAGCACGAGCCACTTTCTGCTTGTTGACAATGTTCATCAGCTTGACAGCGTCGCTGCCCTTCACGTAAACCACCGGCCTCTTCAGAGGATCCTCAGCGATCTGGTTGAGCTGAAGAGAGGACACAGAAAAGCACATCACATAACAAGATGTAACTTGTTTCTCTGGTCGAATATGATGGCTGTGGCTCCCCGTTTACTCTTCATGAGGAGTCAGCCTGTGAAAACAGCTGTATATCATCTCCTGTGGCATTAGAGAAAACGGAGGACCCAGTGTTTTTCAAGCTCTGCATTGTTTTTACATACATTTACATTTGGGGCACCAAAAATGTACGTTGACCACTAAAGTTAGAGGCTTGGTGACCTGTGGGCGTGATTAAAAATACTTGTATCTATCCCTGTCTTAAGGCCTCTTAAAGTATTCAAGTGTACTAAAAAACTAGAGTGTATCTTTGCTGTATAAACAAAAGGTACACCCAATGAACAAAGGTGCTTTTTTTTCAGTCAAGGACCATTAGAAATGCAAAGGAGAAAGAAAAATCCAAGGCACTCCAGAGTCCTGAGTACAATAATAATTACCATCGAGAAGTCTTAAGACTTGTAACCAAAACATGTTTGTGTCAACCAGGTAATAAAAAGTTTTTCTTTTATTACACTCAATCTGTAAATCGCACTTTGGTGGAGCTGCTCCCAGCTATGTAGTGTGTGATGACTGCGTCATCTTAATAAAGCAAGGAGTCTGGGAATTACTACCGTCATGGATGTGAACTGCCTGAATGTAAAAAAAAAATTCCAAAATCATAAGCTTTTCTTTTACAAACTGGGGAAAGTGCCCTATAGGCTCAAGGCATGGAAAGTGTGGTCACAGTTTGCCAGAGGGAGCTGGAGGAAATAGTCAGTGAATAGTATGTTCTGGCTTTGGAGTCATTTAACATGCTCCTTTACTCCTCCTCTTCCTCTCTGTTCTCCCCTCTCGTCTGCTGGTTGGAATCTGTAATTTGAAAAGCCATAGGGAAATACCGAGGATAGTCACATTTCTATTTCTTCTGCTGTCGTCATATTCCCCTGTGAAATGCTGTACATTCGGGTTTAAAAGTATAGACGTTGAATGGTTTGATCTCTTGCTTGATTCTGGCGTACTGCTCCCGCTTTTAGAAATGACTCCGCCGAGACTCCAGTTTGGCTTTTAACAAACAATGAATCATTAAAAGGTGTCCCTACAGAGTCGACCATAAACTGGAAATAAAATAAAACCAAAAAACGTATGTATATCACTGTTCAAAGAAAGTTAATCACATTTAATTTTCCCTGAAGAAAAGAAAAAAAAAAAACTTTCAGCGACAAGCAGCACTTGGCCTCACATTAAAGTATAAACTGAGAGAAAAAGAAGGTCAAGTACATTAACTTTATAAATCTTCTCTCCTAATTTTGGCTCTGGGACCTTAATTCTCCCTAAGCTCCTCCTCCCTGCCCCTCAGCCTTGTGGGTCCTGTCTCTGCTGATCGGGCCGCTCTGACTGGAAAAGCCTCTCAGGGGAATTTAACACAGCCGCCCAGCACTGCCTTTCATGTGGTCTCCGTGCAATCCCTTTTATCTCTCAGCTACACGCTTTACGACCCAGCGGCAGAGAAGAAGAGGCGAGGAGGGAGGGGAATAAAAACCTACAAGTCTAGGCCTGGCGTGGCGAAGACGAATACCACAGAAGAATTCTTGCGACAAAAGTGCTCAGAGGAGCAACTCGTGCATTATACCTCTCAACAGCAAAAGCACAGGAGAGACTGAAGAGGGAGGAATGTGAGTGTCTGGGTGTGTTACACTTTGCTCTTACTATAGCCCTAATGTGTGCCCCCCTAAATGTGCACTCAAAGACAGATCCATAGTCTCAGGGGATGAGGTAATGTGTGCTACCTGTGCAATTATGAGCTCAACAGAGTTTGGTCACAGTCTAGTGAAAGTTGAAGCTGGATATCCATTTTCACCGCTCTCACTCCTCCAAACACAAGTTGGAGAGCTGTAAGTCCCAGAATGGGTGAATGAGCCAGGCTGATCCACACGCTTTTGAACAGACCTAAAGATCATTGTTTGTACATACAGCAAAGACACACTGCCACTCAGGAGGGCAGGGCATGCTGCTAAGCTTTATTCAGGAGTGAAAAGCGGACAGACAGACACACCGAGACAATGTTGTTGAGAGTCTGAATGTCTGGGTCATTTTAGATGTACAAACCTGGTCGATGGCATCGGGGTTCTCGGACACGTCGAAGATGACGGCTGTGGCTCCCCGCTGCACTGCTCTCTTCGCCTGCAAACACAGAACAAAGTGACATGTATTTAACGTCACTGAAAATAAAAAGCCAGAAAACATGTAATCACAACCGACCATGTTTTCACACTTTAAATTCAGGCCACTAGAGGGAGTTCTCTGCCTAAGTGTAAACCCCCCATGCCCATCATGGAATGAAAATGAGAAAGAAAACCAACAGGTGAGATGTAAACAAGCTGCTGGTCTCTCTCAAACCTTCATGAGGTCATTCTGCACCACAATAAGCTACTCCTGTATGACTGATGTGTGCACAGCTCAGCGTGATGCAACTCTGCACGAGAGGAGCCGAGTTTGAATTGAATTCTGGTGTGTGCACTCAGGAAAGCTGAATAAAGTTATGAAGGATTTCAAACTGCTAAAACTGTGAGCTACTTTCATGTGAGAGCAAAGAAAGTCATAGCACACATGTCTTTTGAAGACTTCTGCTAAAGGCAAAAGATAAAGGAAATGCTTGGATCTGCAGAACCCTAAGTATCTCTTCACAGAATCCAAATTGGCTTCCCCTCGTCGGAAAGACAAAGTTCCTTTATCTCGACTCCTGCCTTCCTCTACAAGCCGTTCTCACCCTGCTTGGTTCACGGTGCCCTATTTAGACAACGTTTTGATGTCTGCACCATATGATCTAAAAGAGCACGGCTGGGATCATATCCTGGTATTATCAAGCGCCCTTGGGTTCATGCCAGTGCTCTTCATAACTGGAGGAAGGGGGATTTTTTTGGGGGGGGTGAACATCAAAGCGTCACCGCTCCAGTCTGCAGGCACTCGCAGAGGACACAGATTGGGGGGAGGGGGGTATATGTGCAAATGGTTGTTTCACCACACGTCATGTTGAGGTGTTGAGATAACACGACAGCGGGATGTCGAGCGGGTTTCTGCATCTTTTCTACAAACAGGAAGGGTTTTTTTTAAATCACAGCTCAAAACACATCTTAGTCTCTTAGAGGACGAACACAGGCCTCAAAAACAGCTTCAGACTGTCCCTGGAACTCGTCTGGAGTGATTAGCATGCCTTCGTGATGGCGCTGTAGAGCGGCAAGCTTTAGACTGGTTGAGATCTGGTAACCGATCATCCCCTTCAAACCCTTCAGTGATACCACCTTGTATTTGTGACTGATGCTGCAACTAATGATTATCCTAATATCTAGCAATTACTTCTCCCTTTTTGGGTCTATAAAATGGCTACCAATTGATCACCACCAGCCCTGTGGTGAAGACGTTTAACATGATTTTAAAGACTTGCTTTCTGACTCAGCATCCTGCTGTTTGTGCACACATTATTCTGCCACTTTGCAGCTCTGTTAGTGTGAGTCCGCCTGCTTTAAACATTAAATTGTTGATTTCTGTACAGAACATGACGCGGACATCCAACATCATCACCAACAACCAGACAAGGACACTTCTGACTCTGAATCTCCTTTTCCATATGGTGCTTGTGTCATGTTCCTCATTTTCCATGTTCAGAAACAAATTAATGATTAAAATGTAGCTGTCCAAGATGGAGCATGTGTAGCTGAAGTAGGTTTGGGTTTAACTTTTCTACCAACATACAGGGAAGTTCAGCAAAACAAGAGAGAGAGAAGCAAAGGTGTTTGCATTGTTCAGAATTAATAATCCCACTACACACAGAAAATATTTTTAGAATGAGCAGCACATACATTGGCCTTTCTGGGACTGCTTCTCTGTAGTACTGCAGTACGTTTGGTGGGACTACAGCTGCACGGACAGGTTTCAGCAGGGAAAACCAGAAACAAAAGGCCTTTTATACAGGGGGCCTATGTACCACACTACGAATTCAACTTTGAGAGTAAAGCAGCTTCAGGAAAATGTAAACACATCATGACTGAAGTGTACGAGCCACGTCTCAATTAGATTTCCCTTTGGTTTAATCCACAGACAAGATGTTTATGAATCTGGCTTTCATAGCTTATTAAAGACTAATTAACCCTGCAAACTGATTTGATCTTCGATTTCTTAGCAGTGAATGAAAGCCTTATCAAACAGGAAACATTAAGACAGCGACACATTAGACATACAAGCTTCCAACTTTCTCTTTCGTCTTGCCTCTTTTACATAAGCTAACATGGGTCTTTTCATTCTTTTTTCACATTCTGTACTTGAAAAGCTCAAAAGCGAGCGGAGCAAAATCTCGCTCGGCTTTTCCCTCTCACCCAGTTTTTCTCGGCTCCACGCTGCCAGGCTCCAGCCGCCATTAATTCAGCACAAATCTGCTCCTTTGATGTTAGCTCTCTCAGTTAATAATTAATAGCTCTTGGTAAGACGCTTTGAGAAGAAAGAGATCTCTCTCCTAAAGAATCTCCACTTGGGCAGGCCTGTGCTGCAGTGCAGGGACTTGTCTGACGACAATAAAAATGCACCCGCAGGCAGAAGGGGCTCACTTAAAACAACAACAACAAAAAACAAACAAAAACAGACATGTTTCCTTCCCAAACTTACAAAAAACTCCAACTTCGGACACCAAAGGAAGGATAAATACTTGTCAGGACTTTGTCATGTTGCTAAAAACATCCCTAAACATTTCACTGACTCAAACTGGCAGAGCTCATGTG